CTGTATATAAATGGTTTGTATTTATGGTCCTGTATATAGATGGTTTTATATTTATGGTCCTGTATATAAATGGTTTGTATTTATGGTCCTGTATATAGATGGTTTTATATTTATGGTCCTGTATATAAATGGTTTGTATTTATGGTCCTGTATATAGATGGTTTTATATTTATGGTCCTGTATATAGATGGTTTTATATTTATGATCTTGTATATAAATGGTTTTATATTTATGGTCCTGTATATAGATGGTTTTATATTTATGGTCTTGTATATAGATGGTTTTATATTTATGGTCCTGTATATAGATGGTTTTATTTTTATGGTCCTGTATATAGATGGTTTTATATTTATGGTCCTGTATATAGTTGGTTTGTTTTTATGAATGAAACCAAATGATTAAAATAAAGAGAGCCAACAGTTTGTCAGTGAATAATGAAATATAAGAGCTTAAAATGAGTCAGAACTAACTCTGATCAATGTCAGATAGATTTAATGAAGAGCCACTCAGTTTCTCTGTTCATCTTTCACACTTTCCAACTCAAACCAGATTAAATGAAACGTTTCAAAACAAACAACTTTTATGACTTTACTAAATCTTCCGAGTCTAAATCTTTGAAGCTTAAAGTTCTGCTGATGTCTCTACAACAGTTTTATTTCTTTTTGTTTTGGATCATCTTTGAACACTTCACCCTCACACCACTGAGACCTGTCCATGTCTGTCAGAACAAGTTCAGGAGCATCTTCAGATCATTTTAAAGCTTCCGAGGGAACCCCAACTGGTTCTGTTTAATAAAGAAAAGAAAACGTCTGTCCTGCAGGAAAACTCAAACATCCAGATCCAAAGCAGCATCAACAGCTTCTTTCAGCGAGCTTCCAGATGTGGATTTCAACCCAACAAAAACAAACTGAAGCAGATGACAACAGAAAACCATGGACCAGGACCAAGAACCTGTCTTCATGAAACATGAACACACTGTGCTGCACAAGAATGAGAAGAATCCTGAACGTTCACAACATTTATCTGAAGGTAACAGAAAAATCTGAAGGCATTAAACCTTAAACATCTGAGGGTGTGGGAGCAGAGCAGGGGTCAAAGGTCAGCTTCGTTATGATGGGCATATTTTACCTAAATGAAGAAAACATGCTGTTCAGATAAAAACACAGCATCCTGTCTGTGTGAACACAGGGAATTCAATTCAATCCAGTTTATTTATACAGCTCCAAGTCACAACGTGTTGTCTCAGGACACTGTTCATAAAAAGAACAATGTAAAGAAAGCAGCAGATTGTGTTGAATCACTTCATCACAGTCTCCATCCTGAGCAAACGCTGGAGAGGAAAACATCTGATCCACTGGAGCGGTTAGGAAATTCCTAGAGATGAGCGTGAAATGTGATGATTCATCCATCATTTCCACAGTTTTCCCACTTCAGGTGGCAAATGTTTCACAGCTGATTCATGCTGACCCTTTCTGGGAAACTGCCCAGAGATCAGCCAGAGGCAACAACAGCTTCACCCCTTCAACACGTCTATTACACCACCTGTTTTAAATTTATTATCATTTATAACACCTCTATTGTTATTAACACTAACTTTATCATTAATAACACATCTATTACCATTAATAACACCTTTCATCACTAACACCACCTTTATTATCATTAATAACACCTGTATTGTGATTAACAACATATCTTTCATCTTTAACTGTTTTCTTTGAAACATTTGATTTGTTTTTTAGCGGCTCTCTAATCGTCCAGCTGACTGAACAAAACAATCAGACTGATGAAGATATTCAGAGAGGAAAACTCTGGACCGTGGAGTCCAGATGTTCAGGTTCCTGAAGAAGAGACACTTGGCCACACTGCAGCACATTTGTTTTAAAGGCTGATGGACAGTCAGTATTTCTGATACCTGTACTTTCTGTTCCAAACCCACCTTATGAACAAACTCCAGCTTTTCTCCTCCACTTGAGAGACGATACGTGTAGATGTAGCCTCCACCCACTGACCTGGGGTTGAGGATCATGTCTCTGGCAACTCCAACCAGGACGTACCAGTCGTCTCCTGTGTTGGTGAACCGACACACAGCAACGCTGAAATACAACAAAACATGAAAGCATTCAGTTAGGTACGAGTTCTGAAACTTTAAATCATTCTGATCGATCTGTTCTGCTTCCTCACATCTTAGACAGAATCAGAGTCAAGTCCTGGTTCTGCTCACCTGAACGCAGCTTCGTTCTGCTCCAGCTGCACCTGGTCCAGAGTGGAACCCTGGATGGGGTTAACCAGACGCACCAGCGAGGCCCACTGACCTGCTCCAGCTTTAGGAGAACCAAAAATGGCCTCTGGCAGATTCTCATTCAGGAAGGCTGCAGCCATCTCTGCAGCCAGCTCTCGCTCGTCCTCACCTGCAGCCTCCACCATCTCCTGCAGGAAGGAGCGCCACACCACAGGAGGATTACTTCTCTCACTGCTATATTTACTCAAACGTTTAGGAATTATTGTTTCTTTTAAAGACAGGGCCAAACTAACTCCACAGGTTGGTTTAAACCCTCGTTTTATTCATGTTTTAAACATTAATTTAGTTACTTAATCCAACTCAAACATCATTAACACGTCTTCAGAGTGAATAACTGGACTCTTTAGGACCAGAAAGAGGAACTTCAGGACGTGCTAACAGCTCATTCTTAGTCGTGCACCAGCCTCAGTTTAGTGGTGTAGACTTCTGTTCACTGTTCACAGTGACGTATCTAAAACCATCAAACCAGGTCCAGTAATCCCACTAACACAAGCTGAGTCAGAGCGGGCTTCCCCATTCCATGATTCAGAGTGACGGCTCAGATATTAATTTAAAGGAAAAACGTACCCACAAAGAGTAAAAACATCCCATCTGGTTCTGACAGAATTCAGTCTGTTACACACTTTGGTTTAGTTCAAAAATAAATAAAGTCAAGTCCTGTAAAAAGACCAGGAGAGGTTTTCACACTTTATTACTAAAAACTGTAGTAAGTTAGTGATGACACTGTTTGTAACTGGGCTCTAACAGGTACCTCAGCCATCTGTTGCTTCCTCTGAGCTTTGGTCGTCTCTGTGTAGGAGTTGTGGTCGGTCTCGATCAGAACCAGGTTGTTGGTCTCTGGGTGGATCACAAACCTCCTGGGGGTGTACTGCAGAGGGAAGGCCACCTGGTTGAAGACAGCCCCCAGTTTCTCCAAGGCCAGAATTCTGTCGGACAGGTGAGGAGGGACACGTCACTTTAAAGCTGACAGGTGACTGAAACCAGGAGAAATCCCAGCTTCAGGCAGGGTTCATGCAGGTTTCAATAAGTTTCATTTAAGACCTTTAGGAATGACATTTATAACCAAACTGACACATTAACAGAAACATTCAAATGGTCCCAGACATTTTAACACAGAAACCTTTTATTACTATCAATTTAGCTGTTAAAAATATTTCATTTTAATACAAGAACACTAAATTATTTTAATGAAACAGTCCAGGGTTCCTGCAGGTTTCAGTAAGTTAAATTTAAGACCTTTTAAAGACACTTTAAGACCATTAGGAATGAAATTTAGGACCAACCCGACACATTAACAGAAACATTCAAATGGCTCCAGAAATTTTTAACACATAAATGTCTTAGTATTGCTTTGACTAATTTCAATTTAAAACCTATTTTGGTGTCATAGTTGAAAGAAACTGAATTACAAAATTAAGACATAGAAAGGCTATCCCACTCCCAGGGCACATGCAGCCTAAATACACAACTCTTCAGAGGTCACAAACTGAGCCACTTCCTGCCTGCACTTATCACAGGACTTGTAGTTTAACCTCAGACTCAGTTCTGAGTCTGAGGTTAAACTACAAGTCCTGTGAAAACTGCAGACTCAGCAGTAAACTGAGTCTGTGGTTAAACTACAAGTCCTGTGAAAACTGCAGACTCAGCAGTAAACTGAGTCTGTGGTTAAACTACAAGTCCTATGAAAACTGCAGACTCAGCAGTAAACTGAGTCTGAGGTTAAACTACAAGTCCTGTGAAAACTGCAGACTCAGCAGTAAACTGAGCACTTCATGAAGACAGATTCATCAACCTCTGATTTACTGTATTTATGCAGCCAGTACTTCTGGGAATGATCCCAAGTTAAAAAATTAAGACCTGACAAAATTAAATTTATGACCTTGGATGAAAATCTGGCTGTTTTAAGACTTTTTAGGCCTAAAATTTAGATTTTCAAATGTTTGACTTTGTCAGAGCCTGTTCAGTGTTAAAAACACACACGTGTCGTACCTCAGAGTGTTGGTGGAGATGGCCACGATTCCCTCTGGGCACTGCTCCGAGGCGAACCCTGAGGCGTACTCCAGAGTCTCGTAGGACAGTGGGGTCAGATGGAACCGAGACTGATAGGAGTAGCTGAGCCAGGACCGGCTGGACATGGCCAGAACCTGACGGGAGGAACAGAAACATGTAAGAACCCTACAGAGTCCAGGACCCTGTCCCCCAACACACAACTGCTGCGTACAGCTTCCTGGCCCTGCATCCGGACTCTGAACAGTTTCACCGGCCTGGAGCCCAGGTAGCGTGTTCTGGTGTCAGACAGGTCCCCGGTCACAGGGTCCAGCACCGTCCTCAGCAGCACACCGTTCTACAAAACACATCAAACAAGAGCTTAGTTTAAACTCAGACTCTGGATCAGTTGTTTTTATGCATCGTTGATGTGATTTGTCTTGTTCCTGAAGGTAAACCAATCTAAACCAGTATCTGTGAGGAAGACTACCTGCAGGCCGATGTTCAGGTAGAGGAAGCCCATGGAGCCTTTATCTCCCAGCTCATCCTGTTTCTCCACCCCTCCCATCTCCACGATGCACAGACTCTCAGGCTGAGCAGGAAGAGCCTGCATGCTCAGAGGCTGCAGACAGTCCTGTGTGAACAAAGGTCAGAGGTCAGATCATCAGGGACACCAGAGAAACCTGACAGATCAACCCTGACTTCCTGCTTGTGTCTTATTGCTGCAGAGAAATCTAATGAGATCAAAGCAGCACTGCGTCCTGTTCTTCAGTCACATTTACAGCTCAAACACATGAAATTAAACAAGTTTAAACGAGTTTTTCTAAATCCAATCCTGACTTTTGTTAATCTAAATCCTTTGACACATTTTCCAGATCAACATTTCTGACATGTTTTCTTCCTTCAGTCTGATGAGATGCAGCTGATCCTCGTCCTGATGAGGGTCATAAATGAACGTGTGTGTGTGTGTGTGTGTGTGTGTGTGTGTGTGTGTGTGTGTGTTCCACACCCTCACAGGCCTTTTTACAGATGCTGCTTTACTTTGTACATAAATCATCCAAGATTTATATTAATATTCAGAAGTTGAGTTTAAAGCTGTGAATTCTTTGTTTGTTCAACAGGAAACCAAACATTTCAAGCAGTTCCTGATGTCTGCACGTTTCATCTCCACACATGAAACAAAGCAACAGGAAGGTTTGTCAAAGCGCGACGCAGCAGCAGCTGCAGCGCTCCGTGTCTGTGCTCGTACCGACGGGTCCAGGGAGATGATCCGGACCGTGTTGTCCACCAGTCCCACGGCCAGGAAGCGAGAGCGCTGCTCACCGGGCGGGACGTTGGCCAGACTCATGCAGACCACGTCTGCAGACATCTCCTTCCTCTCCGTGTACTCGTTGAGCTGGCCGGACTGCAGACGGAGCAAACACCTGGGTTACTTTACCTTTAACAGCCAACATGGTGCCTGTGGTCTGTACTAAACAAGCTGCTCACAGGACACAGTTCAGATTTTATACAAACATTTACTCTAACTGAGCAGTTCATCTCTACGCTGTAAAAAGTGAACAAAATGAGAGGAAAATGTGAAACAAAGGCAGGTTTCTGATTTGAACCTGTCAGTTTTCTTCATTCTTTCTGCTTCTGCTCAGTTTAAAACAAAGCAGCAGGTTTCAGGTTAAAGTCTGCAGAGCTGCAGCTCAACAAGAAATGTTACAAACACCACCATGGATCTGTTCTCACCGGGTCCATCTCAAAGTAGACCAGCTCTCCCCCCGTCAGGGCGATGACCACCTGCCGCTGGTTCACGGCGCAGCGGACGATGGTTTTCTTACCGGGGGTCTTCCACTCGTTCACACGCTTGTCTGCTCGAATGTGACGGATCCCGTCTGGGTAAACCTGGAACCAGAGGCAAGAAGAGTCGATAAAAACAAGAAGCTCAACCACAGGGTGACCTCTGGCCCCGCCCCCCCACCTGAACCAGGGCGTCTTCACCCAGCAGGGAGCAGGAGAGGGTCGGGGTGGTTCCCAGAAACCCAGAGTCCGTCACTTCCTCCACGGTCTCTCCGATGGACAGAACCAGGGTGGCGTTGACGAAGGACACGATGATGTAGGCGTCGAACTCATCTGGAGAAAGGAGAGCAGATCTTCATCCTCAGAGGTTTCTGTCAGAACGTCACGTCTTCAAACCACCACAGGTCAGGCTTTCTGACAGGTCCTGGTCCTGTTCTGGTTCCAGCTCATCAGTAAGACAACAGCAAACATGGCCGACCGTAACCCGGGTGTTTAAACCTGATTCCCTCTTGGTTCTGCTGTTCTCTTGTTCCCACGGTAAAATCTCACCATAGTTCTAATCTATTCTCATGAGATTATTCAGCAGATTACACAGCCAGTCACTGTGGGTTACTGGGGTCATATTAGCTGCAGGTCAGCTGTGTTTCTATCATGTTTTGTTGCTTTAATCTTGTGCGACACTCATTCATATGTTGAAACTCTAGGAGCCAGCTACTGTGAGTTAAACTGTGGTGAAAACAACGTTGTGAGGTTTAAAACGACCGAGTTACTGAGTGTTGTTACCGTTAGCTTAGCAGTTAGCTCATTCAGTCATCATTTTGTTGTGCTTGTTGCAGCACTGATGACTCAGTAACTGAAATATAAATCCAGACATTCATTTAAAAGAACTGATGAAATTAATGTGCTCTAATATTCACTGAGCACTTTTTCTGTTTTGTTGTTTGAATCACACTAAATATTTATTGGATTTGTCATGACTTCATATTGAACCATTTATTTATTGCACATTGACTGAAAAAGATTGTATCTTGAACTACTTTTTAGTGCAGAGTGCTGATATTGAATTAGTGTGCACAGTAGAAACAGTTGAATGTATTTATTGAGTGTTGTGTTTTATGACACAGGTCAGGTATGGATGGAGAGCTGATGGTCCAGGCCTCGAGCACCATCATCGTGTGAAGACCTCTGACTCTCTGCCAGGCTGGTAGGAGCCAACAGTTATTTATCCTCATTCCTGAGGGTCTTCTGTCCCCCACGACCTGCACTAGTCCAAGCACTTCCCAGCCCACCTGCCACAGACTCACCCAGCCTGGGGTTAACGAACTGAAGGGGGTGGCTTTATGGAAATACTGATTGTTGGCACTCTGAACTGATTAGAAAAAGGATTTTTTTTGGTTGTTTTTTGTTTTTCCGAAGCACATTTTTATTGAAGAGCCATTCAGATTTTCACTGTTAATGTAAATGTGTACATATACTTTTTCACTATAAATATAGTGTCTGTCTGCTCCTTCCTGAGTCACTATCTGGTCTTCTGAGAAACTAGCCCATGAAGCTTATTGTTGATAACTCTGTACATTAATTAGTAAATCACAGTTTTCTGTTTATCCTACAGATATGCTGCACGTACCTTCCACGTGTCTGCGTACGGTCCACACAGCGTTGGGGTTACCGGGCAGCTCAGAGACGGCCATCTCTGACACCTGAGGACCAATAACCAATCAGAGGTTTTATTTCATCAGATTAATCCTGACGATGAGTTTATATCATTTAGAGCTTAATAACAGGAGGAATACTCTGGGATTATTATACTTCTTTAGTCCAGATTAGAGTTTTTAATGAGCCCAATGTTGGAATAAAGCTCAGGTGTTTCCTGTCAGAACCTCTACAGTCAAACAGACACACTCCTCTCATGCCTCGCATTAAGATTTAACATGTTCAACATTCAAGCAGCAGGACAGAAGAACCTGAGGAGGTCTGGAGACTTTCAGGAGACCCCATCAGGTCTGACAGCCGGCCTCAGACCCCTCACACCCTGACTTTAAGGTAAAACTACCTCCTGAAGAGCAGTGAGACTGAACACACTGCTGCAGGCTGAGATCAGAACGTTTCAGAGACTCCTCAGCTTTGATTCAGAGAAGAGACATGAAAACATCATCAGGTCCTCAGACAGCACAACGTGTGTCTCATGATGTGTGTGTGTGTGTCTCACGATGTGTGTGTGTGTCTCATGAGGACAGGCTGTACCTCCAGTCCGTGTCGCAGCACCCTCAGGGTGGACCTGGGTCCTCGTCCACAGGTGACGTACAGCTGAGGCGTGTCCTCGTTGGCCAGATCAGCGATCTGATGAGATGTTAAAAAACTAGAATCTAAATCCTGTTTGTTTCCAAACCAAGTCTGGTTCTGATGAGACCCACCTGACAGGACATGATGGGGGACAGGTTCTCCTGTTCGTCCACCAGGACCAGGTTCTTCAAGGGTCGAGGCTGGAAGAAGAAGGTGTCTCCCTCCTCTAACGGCATGGCAGAGGAGAACTCAGGCTCCTCGTCGTCGTCGCCCAGGTGAGCGATCTGGTACAGGTAACTGAGGAGGAGACAGGCTCAGATCAGTGACTGGACCAGAACCATCAAACCTGCTGGGAGGGTTCTGACGTACTGGTTTCCAAACTCTGAGGCCACAAACAGGAAGCCGGTCTTCAGGACACACATGGCTGCAGCCACGGGGATGGTGTCGAAGTATTTCAGCCTGATTTCTGTCACCTGGAACACAAACAGCACGCATGGTCCAGCTGCAGCAGAACCAGAACCTCCCGTTTGGACTTACCATCTCCTCGTCTGTCTCCAGAGTGACCTTAAAGATGTCCCCCTGCTCGGTCTGAGCCAGGAAGAAGAACATGGACTTGGTTTTGTGGGTGGCAGAGCAGACAAAGATCATGCCTCGCTCCGGGTCATCCAGGTCGTTCTGAAACCCAAACACAGGTGAGGATCAGAACCACATGGATCAGGTGAGGATCAGAACCACATGGATCAGGTGAGGATCAGAACCACATGGATCAGGTGAGGATCAGAACCACATGGATCAG